TATATATATATATATATATATATATATATATATATATATATATATATATATATATATATATATACTGTAATTAACTCTTATGATTCATTATATATAAAACTACGATTACTGTGATGACACATGAGACACATTTCAAAAAGAGACATCTGTCTGAGGAGCAGAAACGATATTTCCCGTAAGCTCGACAACACGATCCGCTGACCCATGCGCTTTATAGGTCGATATTCTAACATTATGACCTCGGTGGCGCCTGATGTCGTCTGACGGATGCGCGCGGTCACGACATTTCCCTCTTAAGAACAAGTAATTAACCCGCCTAATATGGCTCCGTCGGACTAGGATTCTCAGCGTCAGATCGTATATACATGGATAAGGATGTCAAAGCGAGACCACGCTGACCGAAGCGCGATGTCGGTTCGCGTTAGAGATGTGTGTATAAACGTGCGTGAATGTCTGTGTATGTGTGTGTGTCTGTGTGTGTTTATGTATGTACGTATATGTTGTGTGTGTTTATATATTATATCTATGTATAAACGCTCTAAGGCTTTGGCAGTGAGTTAACGAGTCGATTATTCGGCACGTCCGAGACAGGGTGGATGCGCGCATGATATCTCTCTGTCTTCGTATGTGTTCTGTCGCGAGTCCCACGAATGCTACGATCAGAATCGACATGTGCCATCACGCGCGCCGGAAATACCGAAGAGTCGATTTGGTATCTTAGACGAGCATACGTAGGATGGATCTTCTTCTTCTCTTTGTGTTGTCAATGTGGGGTCCTTTCACCGGTAATTGGCCGGCCTCCGTGCATGATCGGCAGCAGAACCTCGCATAATATTCGTGCATACAATACTTGGCCGCCACAATGAGCTCGCACTTGGCGAAGAATGAGTTATCCTGACAATGGGGATGAATGAAGATACCTAAAACAAAGAGGGAGGGATAGATTAAACATACACAAACGTTCGTGCGTAGAGAATCACGTAGGAGGTGTATCTTCGACGTAAGCCGGAGAGTAGCTCACCAGCTACGCGTATGTCGACGCTGTCGGAATCCGAAGTATACTCGTTGGTTGCTTCACATCGATATCGGCCGGAGTCCTCGCGATTCGCGTGGTTAATGATGAGCCGATTAAGTTCTGAAACAGTAACGATTCATGATTTGTCATCATACCTAATGCGAATCGATGCAACAGATCATATCGTGTGTATTTTGTTTTGTTCGGTTGCGAGTATAGTGTTTTATTTGTGATCTTACCAGAAATCTTTATGCGATTATCCGTTCGAATGAGTTCATCGTTCTTGTACCAGAGCACACGTGGAATAGGATAGCCGTCCACGCCGCAACCGATGCTTATTTCGCTGCCCTCGGGGAATTGTGACTGTTCCACTGTTACGTTGACTTTGACCGGCACTATGTATAGTACAAATTTATTAACATTCACGTATGATAATTTCATTCGGTAAATTACAAAAAAAAATAACTCAAGGAATTTAAAAAATGCATAAAATAAGAGAATGCAAAAGTTCTGGGGTACTTACACGAATTTCGCTCATCTTTATCAAAGAGAAATATCATTGATTGTGTTAAGTTCTTATCACGCACTTAAAACAGCAAATAAGCGGATGACACAGCCCGAAGCGATAACATAATGCAATGTTTGATTATTAAGCACGCATGCAGGATGAAATGAGAACCAAAAAGTTCTCGGTTGCGCCGTCCTTGCGATCGATCGTAGTATTGAGGAACACGAAACGTGCATCTAATAAAGACTCATAAGATTCGAATAAAAATTTGTATAGATATCTCAAAAGAGTTCTGCGAAATGTTTTCAATTCCACGCAACATACTTGCTCGAATTCACAACGATCGGCACAACCGGAAACATGTCAGTTATCGCGCGGTCTCACCTTTGAACACCTTGGCAGTTTCGACAGTAGTAGTCGGGAAGAAAGGAGCCAAGTGAGTTGATCTGGAAGGATAAATAGGAGCGAAGGTCTGATACTCGGGAGATGGTGTTCTGGTGGGTCTATAAGGGTACTGCGGCTTCTCAGTGGTGGTGGGTTTCCTCGGAGGTTGAACAAGATACTTGGTGTATTCTTGCTGCTCAGGTTTAACGTTGTAGACAGGTCCGATTGCTTGCAAGATCATCGACCAGGAAGCTGCTTTGCCCATGGCGTTGTACGCTTGGCAAGTGTAAATACCAAGGCTAGTCAGAGTAACCGATCGTATCAGCAGGCTGTAGTCACTGTCCTGCTCGTAAATATCCGAAAACAGAGGCAACATATCGTCGCCGCGCCACCAAGTGACGTGCGGTCTCGGCCAACCCACAGCGTAACAATGCAGAGTTATCGGCGAGTTCATCACCACTGTTATGCGAGTGTCAGGTTCACCAATGATGGAGACGGAGAGTTGGCGCGGTTCTAAAGGATGCAAGAAGAGCGTGCGCGACGTGCTTAGAAATGTAGACGAAGTAGACATGTTAATTGTACTATCACCGGGTGAAATTGTTGCTGACGCTAAACGGAGGCGAAGTATAGAATGCACGTTATTTCAAAGACTGTTATATTTAAGTTTAAGTTGATGGACATTAAAGAGCGACATTAAATACAAGTATTACCGTGTATGTTATTTATACTAACAGAAAAGTAAAGCAACTTGTTTTAACACGTTGACTGCCTAGCGTAAATTAAGTATATATATGAAACATAGCTTTTATCTATACATGAGTGTCAGTCAACATGTTAAGAAACTCCATTTTCTGTTATTATTTTCAAGCTTTATTCATCGCCTCTGTTTCATTCGTCGAGCAATATATTTCACTGAGACAAGTCCACAATAGTATATACGGTTTTAGTGCCTAAAGAATGGGTCAATATTAAATGAGAGCGAGATCTACAATATTTAAATGCATTAAATGTCAATCAGTGAACGGGAATTCATGTTCACTGATTTATATTCGGTAAAATTAGTATAAATACCACACCGTTTAACAAACATCCCAAGCTATCTGTTAACGTTACATTCTATCCAAAGTTACAATGAGATAATCATGCCATGTTACGAAGCAAATGGATTCTTCACATACCTGTGACGTTCAGTTGATATTCCGCTCTTACTGGCGGTCCTAGACCATTGTCAGCCGTGCATACATAAGTTCCTCTGTCGTAAGTATATAAATTAGTGATCTGAAGGGATCCATCGTGTAGTATGCGCCGTCTCGCCTCGGAAGGTCCAATCTGAAGGTTCATATTTGTATGGTATTTTAATTTTTTTTTCTGTTTTTCTCCACACAAAAAAATTTTCATATATTGAGAAATCATAAAGTGAGTAGAAAAATAAAAAAAGAATTACAGAAAAATCAAGAAGTCTTTTTACATGGACTGAAATACAAAACGGCTTACCAGCGTAGTATCCTTCCTCCACGTGATGGTCGGCCTGGGTATTCCTAACGCGACGCATTTCAATGTGACGTAGCCGCCTTCTTGTGCGCTAACACGAGGTTCCTCGGGTTGTTGGATCATCGCAGGTGATCCACCGTATTGCGGTGGAGTGACGGGTCGTAACGTCGTGATCAAAGGTTCTTCTGACGCTGGCTCCAGGCAGGATGTACCGCAACCGCTGTCGCAGCATTTCAAATCTCCGACACAATCCGCATCTGTGGCGCACTCCTGCTCGCATCTTGTGCTGTTTGATACTCTTGGGCAACGACCGGGTTTGACGACTACAAAAACGATTTTATTTGTCGATTTATTTTTCAATAGATGAACGTTATACAAGAATAAAAATAATTATCACATTAATACAACTGTCTTTAGAGTTTAAAACGATTCACGTACATAATATGTTCAAGTGTGGTTTTTCATATAAAATAATTTTTCACACAAACAACTTTTTAAAATATGTAAATATTACTAGTATTTATTTCACTTTCATCTCGTATCAAAAATTTACGAAGAAATGATCCGATGAAAGAGCACAAAAGTAAAATAAAAATTTCAAAATAACTAAATTGTAATATATATATTTTACGTCGTTAATAAGACTCACTCGATTGACAAACGCCTCTGTACTCTGTACCGTCTTGCGTTGCGACTAGTGTAATGGTACATCGAGTACCGTCGGGACAAGTCTTCGTCCTGCAGGGATCCACGCAGCGACAGCGTTCGCAATCCTGCTCGTCAACATACTGTTCCTTGCCGTACGGACAATGAGCCGTATTGCACATCTCCTTAGCTTCTGCGCATCGATCTTTCGTGTCCTTCGTGTCCACGTCTATCTCGTTACTCGCTGCAATATAATTAAAGTGTTATACGAAAGAAATTGGAAAATTTATCTTCTCAAATAAAAAAAATAAATTTTAGATAAACAAAAAAGCTGTTGACATTAATATCGTTGTACAAAGTTCCTATACAACGGCATCACATTGTAAAAGCAATTATATTGGAAAAAGAACTGCAAGCAATATGACATTTGTGATCTTTGTACATCATGGGAAGCTTCATATATTTCGATTTATATAGAACATAAACCACATAGAAGCTGCTGAGAAGCTGTTATGCATTATTTGTAGTGAATTGTTTTCCGTTGAAATCAAATTTATGGTTTTCCTTATCACTTCCATGTCCTATTTTTAGGTGCAGACAAATTTTATTTTATCAAAATATAACTAATTATGTGTATATAAAATCATATACAATTATTAAAATTATATATGATTTCTAAGGATTTAATTATTATATACATAATCTTTAATCATAAAATATATTCGCATGTTAAATTATTTCAGATAACAAGTTTCACTAACTTGGTAAAGCATATAAGCATATTCTTAAATCGTAGATATAGGTACAATATAAATGATAAAGGGATGAATTAATTGTGGAAAATCAGAAGAGTGAAGCAGAGGAATATGAGAAACATAAAAAGTAAGTATATATATATATATATATATATATATATATATATATATATATATATATATATACACAAAGGAAACGACTGCCGTATAAAGCTGAAAGACGAGATCTGTGAGAACACAACCGAGAAATTTATTATCGGTCTCATATCCTGGACTTACTCCTATGGCAAGTGCTCATGCAAGACTCGACGGTCTTGAATCTGTTGCGATTGCCACCGCAGCCGGTGTAAATAAACGCCCGACACACTTGGAGTTCTTCGTCGTAATAGAATCGTTTGGTGCTGCCGGACGTGCAAGATCCGCTGTCGACCGGTTCTTTACAGATCGCTGTATTATCATCACAAAACTAGTTACACCAAACTCGATCGATCTTCCACAGTAGACTCGATGCCGCGATCGTGACAATCAATATGATATGAAGGGATCGTTATGCTTGAAGTAGAACAAGGTACTTACACAGATTTAAACCACTGGTGTCGTTTCCAGGTGCCACTGGCTCCTCGTGATGTATGCAAATAGACTCGCACTCGGAGATCGAGCTGAATCGATTCGCGTTACCGTCGCAGCCGCCGTAAGTGAATTCGCGACAGGAGCGCGTGCTCGTCTCGTAGTAGTACTTGGGAAAAGCGCCTCTGCATGGACCGGAGTCCATAGGAAGATTACACACGTCTGAAATGACCATTTGATGTGTTAGGTGTAGTTCCTGTTAATTATTTTTAAGAGAAGATGGAGATTTTGTGATGTATATATTATATATGACATTCCAACGTAACACATAACCATCAATCTCTAAGTGAAATTTCTCTTCTTATTATATATTTTTAAATATTTTCAGAAAGAGATTAGAGTTTTCAGGGGCACGGCAATCTAATTATTCAGTCAATTTATATACATTTATTAAAAATTCTATTATGGGTGAAATAACGTGATGACGTTTGTTCACTAAGGGAAACATCTGATTTTTTTTCCAAGAACATCACGATTTACCTTGCCCATGGAACTTTCCGCAAAGTCGTTCGCACTGCTCCTCCGTCTGGAATTTGTTAGCGTTTCCGCCGCAGCCGCCGTATACGAAGGCTTGGCACATTTGCTGTTGCGCGTCGTAGTAATATGCAGTGATGGTGCCGTCGCAACTGCCGGGATCAGCCAGCGCCAAACAGATCGGGCTCTTTGGCTGTTCGGTCGGCGGAGTTACTGTGGTCACAATTTGGGGGCTTACCGGTAGCGAAGGTTGCCGCTTACACTTGACCTCGCATGATACTTTATCCTGGAAGCGATTCTTGTTGCCTTGGCATCCACTGTAATCGAATTCATAGCAGGAATCGGTACGTCGGTCATAGTAGAATTGCTTCACATAGCCGTCGCAAGGACCGATCACCTTAGGTAGCGTACAGAGATCTGAAATTGTTGATATTTTCTCTAATTAATACATGTTTGTTTTTTTAGTCACTATTACATATAAGCACGTATGTTATTTTATATATTTTATGCATATATCATTAAGATAACTTCATATAATCGTTACAAAATAATTATAAGATTTTAATTTTAATTATGATATAATATGTCAAATCTTTCCTGTAAACTTTGTACGCTTTCTGTACGGCATACCTTGAACTTCCCCGCAGCGATATTCGCATTCTTCCTGACTATTGAAGTTGTTACCGTTACTCTGACAGCCACCGTATAGGAACTGTCTGCATATGCCGTCGCGGCTGTCGTAGAACCACTTAGTTTGGTCTTCGGTGCACGGACCATGTTCGTCGGGTAGGAAGCAGAATTCTGTAAGACAGAGTAATGTGTCTGAGTAGTATAGTTGCTCGTGCTTAATTTCCAGAGTTATCAGGAGCATTACCTGTTCGGAACTCAACTTCTCTTCCTGGTGGAGCCGGTGTGGTGATGGACGGCACGCACCTGTTGATGCAGTCATGCTCGATCTCGAAGTTGTTCTCATTGCCGCCGCATCCACCGTAGTAGAACAGCCGGCAATGTTGCTCGTAGGAATCGTAGTACCATCGTTGAGTGTAATTGTGACAATCGCCCGGGAGAGCAGGCAGAAGACAGATGTCTTGCTCTGTATTTGCGCAAAGTTAGAGATTACATTCCTGATAATGTTACTCTGTCAAAGAACAAAGTTCGTTGGTCGATTTAGCTTACGTGAGATACATATTGCAAATATAAGGCAATTAATTACGACCTTTCTGTCCTTTGTTACCAATGTCTCAATGCCAAGCTAGTCAATGTTATTGATTTTAATTATTTAAATAAATATAAAAATATAAGAATAAACCTTCTAAACTTCAGAGAAATATTGAGATTTAGCAAGTTTCAGACTTGCAAATATAAAAAATTCTGATGTAAATTATTATTACAAAACATAATTATGTATAAACTGTGTTACATACTATGTGATATCAAATGTGATATATATGTTTATATTGTGCAATTCTTTCTAATTAAATACTCTTCACATACAGTGCGATTTGGTATCAAGAAGAGGAGTTTACATGAGTGCTCGATAGAAAGCGCAAGAAGAAATAATATTAAAGATAACAAAGAAGTGCAGAAACATAGGGAATACGCTAAAGAATATAAATCATGTCTTACCTATCTTAGGCGGGCAATCGGACTCACATGCTTCTCTAGATTCAAAGTTATTTTTATTTCCACCACAACCAGTGTAATAGAATGGCATGCAGCGATTCTCCGATTGATCAAAGTACCATCGAGATTGCTTCTCCGTGCATGTACCCTCCGCTCGTGGCAACGTGCAAGTATCTGTTAATTGCATTAATTATAACATGCAGAGTTAGATATCTGATGTTAATCGATTCTAAGGAGTCCCGACCACTTCAATATTGTCACAAATTCAAAAGCTTGTTTTTGCTGTCAATTCGGGCGATATTCGCTGTGCAAATAGATATGATCAAAGTGATTAGTATCTCTTAGGAAAACTTGCATTTGATAGTTTTTATCCCGTCACCATCACCATATATTAGGAGGTTTCTGTTCAAATTAGGAAATAAAATGAAATTCCTGAACAGATTTATCAATATGCGTTAATAGTAGCCTTAACTTTCTAACCGACTAAAATCAGATTTGGCAGAAGGTTTGCTATTTTAAATTTTATCAAATATGAAAAAACATATATATAAAACAAAATATAAAAAGAAATCGGATAAAATTCGCATTGAATGTTAACACGAATTCCTGATTCCACTATGCTAGTGAATTCTGCAAATAAAAGCGTGCTTGTGAAATAAAGTGATTGCGTGATTTCGTGTCTCACGTTACTACCCATACGTTGCATCGTGAGTGTGCTTTCTTCCGTCACCATTACCAACAAGTGTGCGTAAAACAAAAGAAAATACTTCCTCGAAATCGAGTTAAGCGACGTCGAATTCTGTTTTTGCTTTGCTGAGCGCGCGTGATGTTAATCCGATCGAAGCGATCAAGCTTTCTTCTTACGATTGTTGTACCTTGCGGAGGGCAACGCTGCTGGCAGGCAGCGAAAGTACGGAATCTATTGGGATTGCCTTTACAACCGCCGTAAACAAATTGTCTACACATGCCGCGTTCGGCATCGTAATACCAGCGCAATGCCGAGCCCGGACATGGTCCGGGATCTTTCCTCATGGCGCACACATCGGGCAGTTTGACTGCAAAAGTTCGTTCATCACTGTGCGGTGGAGTCGAACCACATGAGCGAAGTGTTTAGAACTAATAACGGCAGTGAGGAAGTTTCAAATTACTTGGAACACGTCAGTGTCGATCATTTGTCCTATCAAAATATACGTATGGGGCGACTGAGACGAGTTTATTTTACTCAAAAACGAAGAATTATCATAATTTTCTCACATATTCTCAATCACTTTCTCGTCCTGCCAAATTTTTATAATTTTACAAAATTCTGTGTTAAATTTGTATTCTTGTAACTTCGGTCAAATTTATATTTAGTTATGTAACGAGATTGTTTCGGATATATTATCTAAAATACGGTTAATTGAAATATTCTCTAACTGAGTGAAAGTGTTAATATGCGTTACGTTACGACATAACGTTACCATGTTAGAGATGTTATCGATTATGTTCGAACTGTCTTCGATAAAGTTAGTCGTTATTACTAAAAGAATGAAGTTAACAGATATCACCGCCAGCAATCCATATACTCATAAATACTACTATTATCAAATTTAATTAATTCCCAGATATGGTATAGTTAATGTAATTACTACTGTAGAGTAGCTACTTCTTTCATCGTGCAGATAAATTAATAAATAATTCATGGAAATAAAATACAGGAAATCTCTTAACGCACATAAAGAAAGCGAAAAAAGTATTGAGAAGGAAACGTACCTCTTCTTCGACCCGGCTGCAAGCACTGCTGATGACAAGCAACTTCCGTAGGGAAGTTGTTGCCGTTAGCTTTGCAGCCACCATATACGAACTGCTCGCAATTCTGCGACTCTGCGTTGAAGTACCACCTTGTGAAATTGCCGGCGCAAGGACCGGTTTCTTTCGACTGCTCGCATGGATCTAGACGAAGTTTAAACGATTAATTCCAAACAAAATGAACTTTTAATTTTCGCTAAGTGTCGTACTATTTTTATTTTAAGTAGTACTAACTAACTTTCTTTCTCTTAACGACTAGCTATTAAATATTATCAATAATTTAGATAAACAGTTATGAAAAGAATAATCAATAATTATGTTTTCGAGGTGTTTGAATGTCAACTCTTATACATTGCTTCTCATTATTAATCTTGCAAGTTTTTAAATGTTGCGAATCTCAACTTCCAGTTGAAATTGTTCCAGTATATATATAAATATTAATTCCGCGTTATCAAGAGCAGTTTCTTACCGACGCCATCAGGTGTGACACAAAGTTCTTCACACTCTTCCCTAGTTTTAAACTTATTAGCATTACCAAGACAACCTCCATAAACGAATTGACCGCATTGTTTTCTGTCGGCGTCATAGTACCATGTAGGATGATATCCTTGGCAAGGGCCGGCGATTTTCGGCAAGAAACAAGCAGCTGTAAAGAAAATAAAAAAATTAGCTGATTTAATAAAAGAAATATGAAATAATAAAGTAAAATAAATATGTATATAATCAAAAAATTGTACACAATCCCATTTATAATAAACTCATTCATAAAATCTCTATTTTTCTCTTTTACTTGTTTCTTTTTAAAATAAGTAACATAAGAAGTTACCTTTTCCTTTCGGCTGAACACAAACTTCTTTGCACTCCTCTTGCGTTTTGAAACGATTTTCGTTACCCTTACAGCCTCCATACCAAAATCTCGAACAACCGCCGTAATCGGTGTCGTAGTACCATTTGACCGTAAAGTCGCGGCAGGAACCCCTGTCCTTCGGCAATCCACATGCAGCACCGGGCATGGAAGGCACCGAGAGACAACCCTCAAAGTTCTCTCCCTGAGCTTCTTCAATTCCGTCTGCGCAGCATCCGAACTGCGACGCGTCGCATGTGCATCCGGCGAAGTTCGGACCCTTGGCCGGGGTTCTTTCATCCGAACAGCAATTGAATTCCGTATTCTCGCATCCGCAACCTGCGAACATCATGCGATACATTGCATCATAGAGTATTACTTACTTTTATAGCGATTATCAAAGCAGTACAGCGATAGTTTGATAGTTCGTGCGATTTATTTATTCGAAATGTAAGGCTCATCGATTCATTAGTAAGCTTCGAAGTAGCTTCAAAATAGTTATTCTATAGTAGTAATTATAATCACACCTAATTCTCATTCACTACTTTCGGTTTAATTATATATTAAATTTTTTTTAATTATACGGTTTTTATATATAATTATTATACAATTATTATACTTCATTTTCTTATTCTTTTTTACTAACTTTTATGATTGATCGAGTACTTAATTTTTTGGAACAACAAAATTCGAATTTTATAAAGAGAAAAAAAAAATTTTTTCTTAACTAGGAGATAGAAAACTTATAAGAGAAGCTTTTGTTGAGGAAACTCATATAAATTTACCTCATAAGTGCTTCGCATACAAATAGCAATGTACTTTGGATCAAATATGTAATGAGTATAATGTAATGGTACTTGTTATTGAAAAAATTGATTACTACTAGTCACTATTATCAATTTTGAAAAATTACTCATTACGTGATTATTTTTCAAGAAGTAGTGAATTATTACAAGAAATACCGAGTTAGTATTGTGTTTTCACTAAGTTTTGAAGATTCTTTTCTTGACAGTTTGATACCGCTGATACGTACATGTATTCTACATATATTTGTAAACTAAGTATAAAAGTTTCTCCTATATTAGTTATTATTATATAAGAAATGTAATTCTATTACTATTAAAGTTACATTTAAAAAGACGTCTTTACTAAATAGTTACGGACAAAAAGTAACTTATAACTCTTTAAGAGCATTAGATAATACTTACTTTCCAATTTTGATATGTTCGGTTTAATCGGTTCAAGTAATACCACAATATATAAATATATAAATTCTAGATATGTTATTCTAATAATTGAAGTTAATGTGTTATTCTAATGATTGATCTAAAAATATGTTATTCTAAAGATTAATATTATTAATGTTATTCTAATAATTGAAGTTTATATCACTCATAACAACATTAAATTTTAGTAATGAACGACAAACGATCGATGCGCAATTACCTTGACCACGGGCGCCCTTGGCAATGGTGACACCATCGGGACAGCATCCAAACTGATAAGTGTAACACGGGCATCCCTCAAAGTTGGGTCCGCTAGCGGGGGTGAACTGGTTCGGGCAGCAACCGTGAGGCGTGTATTGACAGCCGCAGCCTTCGTTGTTCGGTCCGCGCGCCGCCGTTGAATTATCTGGACAACAGCCGAATCTCGTGTATTGGCAGGCACAGCCGTAGAAGTTTGGTCCACGCGCCGGCATCACGTTATCCGGACAGCACTTGTACGTGCTCGATAAGCAGCAGCCCTCATTGTTCGACCCGTGAGCCGGCGTAGCGCCATCCTCGCAGCATCCGTAAGCGGTATCCTCGCACGGCATTCGACAGCCGTAATTGTCTGGTCCGAGAGCTAAGGGAGATAATCGCACGGACGATAAAAGCGAGACATACACAATGTGCTTAGAAGATTTAGCGCGCTCCTCTGATCATCAATGCAGATGATCAATGACATATTCGGCGAGATTAGCTGATAAAGGGAATCGATATGGCGATGTTACTCAAAAGATTTATACTTCGATTTAACATTTTCATTTGATAATATTCCAATAAACATGATGACGTATTAATGATGTCAAAGTACATTAATATATCATGTTTGCTAGGATATCGTGTCAAAATGAATAATGTTTCGAGGTGTTGATAGTTTGTGGTATTACAAGTGTTTTCTCTGCGCAACAGAGATTTTCACGAGTAACGCCCCAATAAATAATTTTTTACAGGATCTTTTTGTCGGGTTATTATGATTCAGCTGATAATTGCGGTTTCTACCTGCAGAGACTCCATCAGAACAGCATCCAAAATAGGATGCGGTGCAGTTGTCAGGATTAATAACGCCACATCCCGCGAAGTTTGTACCGTTCGCAGCGGTGACACCATCGGGACAGCAACCGTAGGTCGTGTTCGCACAGTCCTCATATGGCATAGGTTGCGTGGTTGTTTCGTACATTTCGGTTAAAGATGTCACAGAAGAGATTTCTTCTTCGCAACCTTAATAGAACGGATGTCGTTACTCAATCATTCTTCATTAAAAGAATAATAAATACATACCTTCGCCGTCAAAACCAGAAGCGGCTTTAACGCCATCTGAACAGCAACCAAACTCGGTAACATTACAACATCCCATATTGTCTTCTCCAGTAGCTGGCGTTTCATTGTCTGGACAACATCCGAATCTGGAAATTCAAAAACAATTAAATTATAAGACGCAAAATATTGTCGTTAAATCTGAGAAATATATTACTTTTGAATTAATTCCGAATTTTAGTTAAATTTAGCAGAGAAAAAAATGCGAAAAAGACATGTTAACTAAATGATATGTATAGAAGTAAAAGCTAGATTCTGCTAAAAAGAGCTAAATTATATGATAAAAAACATGAAGCTGACTCTGTCTGTTCGCACGGCTTCTTGCAGCCCTCGTAATCGTTGCCTTCCGCCGTGGTGACACCATCTGGACAGCAACCGAAGAGCGATTCGTTACAACGAGAATCTGGGCAGCCTTTGTTCTTCGAGCCAGTGGCTGGCGATACGCCATCAGGGCAGCAGCCGTATCGCATCTCATTACATGTCTGCGGCGTCGGGCAACCTTGACCGAAGGGTCCTTGAGCCGTGGTGATGCCATCATAGCAACATCCGAACGGCGTTTTCTTGCAACTCTTTCTCGGTTTGCATTGCCGCTTGAGCGTCATCTCCGGGAATGCGGTTGTCCAGAACTCCGTGACTGTAATTACATCGGTATTAGCGTATCAAGAGAGAGAGAGAGAGAGAAAAGACAAGAGAGAAACATACATTTCATTATCTTCAGTAAACTTACCGTGAGTCTTCTCGGTGAAATCAGTGTCTTCGCTGATCGTGGAGGATGTGACTTCCGTCTCACCAGACACCGTCGTTTCCCCGGAAGATGTGATGGACGATTCGGTCGTTTCGCCCGATTCCGTCGTCGCGCCTGACTCGGTGGTTTCCGTGAAGGCTGTCATTGTAGTTTCGCCTGACTCGGTAGTCAGTTCTGATTCTGTAGTCTGGCCCGACTCCGTTGTGGCTCCAGACTCCGTAGTCGCTCCGGATTCCGTTGTCTCACCCGATTCCGTCGTCTCGCCCGATTCCGTCGTCCCACCCGATTCGCTAGTTTCGCTTGGCGTCGTAGTTCCGCCGGACTCAGTCGTTAACCCGGACTCTGTCGTCTCAGCTGATTCCGTGCTCATACCAGATTCCGTTGTCGCACCTGATGATTCTGTGCTCATTTCCGATTCAGTTGTCTCTCCCGATTCAGTTGTCTCTCCCGATTCCGTAGTTTGTCCCGACTCGGTTATCTCATCGCTACTGGTAGATTCAGATGCGCCCGATGAACTCGTTCCGGTAGTCTCTTCCGTGCTGCTGCTAACCATCGTGGTGAGATCTGTTTTTTCGGTGGTGCGTGGTTCCGTTATATCACTGCTATTTATTTCGTCTTCCGTCATTTCAGAGCTTATTGTAGTCATTTGAGTCATTTCAGTCGTTGTCTCTACGGAATATCGGAATATATTGTATTTTGTATTGTTATGACTGACGCTCTTTAATTTTAGGCTGACGACGGAATATAAGCTTATATATAATATAATTTGCAAACTAAGTAACGATAAATAAAAAAACGTAAAGTATATTTAAGAAATTAAATGTCATGTTTAGATTTACACCAAATATTATAATAATAATGATGAAGTACAAACTTTATCCTTTAAATAACAGTTATAAATGATAATTGTTAAATTATGTAACATTACAGAAATCAATTTTGTATTTTATTACTTACCGGACATAGTGCTGGAATCTGTTTCGCTTCCGGTCGTCTCTGTTTCTTCTGTGGTCTCCGTCTCCGAAGAAGACGTACTCGCCGAAGACTCTGTGGATTCTGTCGTGTCTGTAGAATGCGTAGTGTCCGTAGGATCAGTAGTTGGTGTAGTTTGCGTCTCCGTCGAGTCGGTCGTTTCTGTTCCGGTGGTATCCGTAATGTGTGTCTCGGTAGACTCCGTCGATTCGGTCACGGAAGAGACTGTGGTCTCCGTAGAACCGGTAGTGACATCAGTCGATTCGGTCGTATCAGTCGTTATATCGCTGGAGCTAGTCGTCATGTCGCTGGAGCTGGTCGTCACGTCGCTGGAGCCGGTCGTCACATCGCTGGAGCCGGTCGTCATGTCGCTGGAATCGGTCGTCATATCGCTGGATTCAGTCGTTGGCAATTCCGAACTCTCACTAACTGTCGACTCGAACTCCACGCTACTGGTTGTTCCACTGCTCTCGCTAGTGGCGAAAGAATTCGTCGACATTTCCGTCATTCCCGATTCAGTGCCTAAACAATTTATCCACGTTATGTTTTTGGCACTTGTATACAGTACATGCTTGCATTTATATATATATATATATATATATATATATATATATATATATATATATATATATATATATATAAAATGTATTAAATAGGCAAATCAAGCATTTTACATAATATGTCAATATATAACATATTGTGTAAAATAGCATTAGTATGGCATCAGTAGAGCAAGTTTGTTATACTAGCAACTTTCTCTTAAAAATTTTAACAAGTGTATTCAACAAGAACGCACTGCCGGTTTTTGTAGTCGCGGCCTGAGTTCCTTCTATCGTGGTGCCTTCCACGTCAGTAGACGCGGTCGCGCTAAATTCTTCTTCCTCGATAGTGGTACCGGATCCTTCGATCGTGACATCGGTTTCCTCGGTGATGTCCGACGACTCGGTCACTTCCGTGCCGAACTCCGTTGTGCCGGTTTTGCTGTCCGTCGTGGCTCCACTAATCGGAGTGTCGCTCTTCTCGACGGTGGTGATCTTGCTGCTGTCAATGAAAAAGGTAGTGTCGAACACGAAGCCATCGTCGCCGCTACCCTCGCCGCTACCCAGCTCGGAAGGCGATATGTCACCCCTCGTGGAGTCGCTGAACATAGTGTCGTAAATGTCGCTTCCCGTAAACGGCGAGCTCAAGGGTGTTGCTTCCGTTTGCTTGACCAGTCTGGCTAACATTGCTTTCTGAAACGAAGAAGAAAAAAGGAATTGCGATGCTTCCACGACCGCGTTTCGAATCCCTTCGATCCACGACGAGACGTGAAATTGAGGGAGAATCACATTACCGGACCGAGTGTTCCGCGCCGTCGATTCGATCGAGTCCGACAAAGCTCTTTGAAACAGTGGAGCGGTAAGGAACGAAGTTACGAAGTAACTCAGTCGCGTCTGATACTCGATTACGCGCGACACGGTTCAGTTTCACTCACCCCCGTGGGTAAGCTGATTTCGGGGACACCTTCTACTTCCTCCTCCTCCTCCTCGTCCTCGCACTCCTCCTCCTCTTCCTTTAAGTCCGTTATTTCGCCATCTTCCCCTTCATCACTCGGTGTCACACCTAAAGATACAGCGAAACGACGAGTTTACGTAAATCGCACAGGCACGTTGGAACGTGTGATTTCGGGAATGATGCAGGGTCGTTACGAGCACACGTAAATCTTTTGAATAGCGTTTCACTCGGGACCTCGGGAGCCCTAAATCCGCCACCGCTGACTCACGCTTTCAGAGATTCGCCATGTGAGAGTACTCTTTCGATATCGAGAGATCTCACGCGTGCGTTTTATTTCTTGGTGACTGGCTCGGATAGTGCGACAGAAACATAATTTCCTCGCTATAGCGGGGAAGGTGCTGTTATATTCACAGTGGGTGGCCGCCCTTTAGAATGGCAGGTACTAAGACATTTGCGTTTAATGCCACGAACCTCATTATTTTCGCGCCCGCTGTTCTAAGTATGTCCAATATTTTATACACGCGGCTGCGATATGTTTATAGTAAAGAGGGCTTGCCTTCGCGATATAAATCACGTGCCCTGTATTATGATGGAGCAAATGTTAATTTCCGTATTATTATCTCTGGTAATGAAGGCTCGCAACCACCAAGGGATTACGTATTACATAGTACACAAGTAAACGTAGCTAATATATCGTATGTTTCGGCTTTTACCTCGTCGAGAAGAATAATGTGGCTTATTTATAAAATAAAAGAAACCAAATAAAATAAATAAAATCAACATACAGATATCTTTTATTTTCAATTACCTATATGTATTCTTTGTATGTATTTGAGAGCTTTTATTTTAGCTTAAAAATAAAAAAATATTAATATCAGGGAATAGCTTCCTCAAAGTTAGTATCAAACGAGCACATTTTTATTTCAAGACAACGTTATTTTCAGAATCGACAGTGAACAATGAGTCGTTCATGACAATTTAAATTCGAAAAATTCTTACCTTTTTCGCAAGGCTGATCGTTACACTTTTCAGTGGAGAACATGATGCTGCTAGCATCACATTGGCTTATAGACACTGTCTTATTATCCTTCATGCAAATCACCTTACGCATCATATCGCCGCCGTCACATGGCTTCGAACACTGCAACATGTGATTGACGATGGTTTTGATTGCAGCACATTAATACGGCTGATGATTATAAACGAGTTGTATACTATTTAACTAAATTCGGATTTTACAGAAAGCGCGAAAGTTGGTGAAAGCAACAGTAATTTAGTATAAGAACTATAAAAAAATTATGAATTTATGCAACATATAAACTATATAAATAACTACTCAATCTATCATATTTATCGTAGCAAAGAAAGAAGAAATTTACATTTACAGTTACATTTCCCAAATACGGCTTTTGAGAGTAAAGACAAACCTTGCTCCAAGGTCCTGCAAACCACTCGCCCTTGCACGGTTCTTTGGCGGTGCAATTTTTGGTATCTTCAAATTTCTCTTCAGGATCGCAATTCTCGTCCGCGACTTTCTTCACGGTATCGTCGCTGAAGGTGCCGCAGAACACTTTGCGGGTCTGAACACCGGATCCGCATTTCGCCGAACACTGTAGAATTATCGTGATGATAAGAGAAATAAGTAGGGTGAATATCATCGATGACGCGAGTAAAGAGATATGTTTCGAGACAGGGAAGAAGCGGACGGGAATATTTATCCGCTTACTTTGCTCCATTGCGAGCTGAACCACTGGAAGTCGCAGTCCTCGCTTTTCTCGCACTCCTTTTCCAGTTCGGGCTTTTTGGTCGCATCGCACAGATCGTCCGGATAAACTGTACCATCTTGAGTAGCGCACTGAGTGGTTCTGGTCTCTTTGGTAAGGTCGCACTTCTCCTCACACTATCAGGGAGGGATTTTCAAATTACGTCGGTTCGTTTTGGAAGTGTCCAATGGAGAAACAGAAATATGATAATTTATTTTTTCTTCTCTCATTCAATAGGAAGTTAAGGACTCACTCCGCTCCATTCCGAGGTGACCCAGTCGAGACCAGCGCAGGGCCTTAGTTCGCAAGTCTTCTCACGTTCCGGCGCTTCCGTTTCGCACGCCTCATCTTCCAGCACTTGGATCTTACCGTCCACCTTTCTGTAGCACGTGACTGTCCTGGTTTGCTTACCAGGTCCGCATATATGATCGCACTAGGAGAAATATTGATTCCTCACGACGTGCGTGTTTCGCTTCTCGAAATAACAGTGCATTAACGGTGAAACAGTGATTTGTACTTAAGAACATGCGAATTACACCCTGGCGGGAGATAACTCGATGACTTCGACGTCTCGCATCGCTTTCGAAATTGTGCGCGAGACGTAAGTCGACTGATAGAGCGCAAACGAGAAAAGCAATGATCATGAAAGGCAATTTAACGGTGAAATGGACACAATAAAATGAGATTAATGCCGCTATGAACGGTGACAAAGTAACTCACGGGCTTCCAGGGTCCCTCGTGCCACTGCGGGCAGTCCACGTCTCTGTTGCATTCCTGCTTGGTGGGCCCTTTCGGGCCCACTTTCTCCAGGCATTGAGAATCGTCCACCACGGAAGCTATCCCGCCCGAGATGACCTGCTCGCACTTGATCTCTCTACTCTGCTCGCCCTCCTCGCCGCACTGCTTGGTGCAAAGGGACCATGGACCCTCCACCCACATCGGTGGACAGGGTTCCTCGTTACAGCTTTGCGTGTCAGCTGGTTCCAGCTGCCGATCACACAGGCCCTCATCTACTGGTTGACTGTCGCGTCTCCGCACGCAGGCCACCCGTCTCGATTGGTAGCCTTTAGAGATAAATGAAGCGTAGAATGGATCCTTTGTCGTGAGTAATATTCGTGCGTAATTATTACTTGGCAAAAGACGGATGGGGAAAATGAATTCTTTCTTTTTTAATTTGTGATTGAAATTGATCAATAATAATTATAAGTCCAATATTTGCTCATTATACGGACAAAGCTATTTTACCTTTTTAAGGAATTATGAATATGCTATTTACTATTGTTATTATTTGAATTCTCTACTCAACTTTGTAGGGCAAAAATGATTTATCAACAAGAGTTATTAAAGTAGTCTTTTTGAATTTTACTGACACAAATTGGAATCAAATGTTGCATCAAATTTAATTCAATTTTGGACTAGAAATTAACTTCTTCGATCGAATCAGCCACTCTCGTACGAACATTCGCACGCAACAGGTAAAACGTTGTCGCGAGGAAGCACGACGGACTCGAGCATCGGTGGTCTAATCGCGTTAAAGTGATAATCCCGTAATACCTCCGCCGCAACTGGCGCTGCAACTGGAGAATTCGTCGGTTATCCAGGTGTAGCTGTCCGGGTCCGCGCGTGACGAGAACTTGTTCGGTATGCTGTATTCGTAATGCACGCCTACGTTGCGATCTTGGTACAGCAGCTGCGAAAGCAAAAGCTCCACGTTAATATGTCTCGGACTCGCTCCATCGACGGAGAAGAATCGATCAATGTACCGACCACGACGTAAATCGACTCGTTCGTCGGTCCCAAGGCCGTGACGATATCGGGCGCCGCGAATCCTTGCGGATCTCGGGTGTAATGGAAGGTCGTGCCGGAGAAGCGCAGGCTGCGCGGAAAGTCTATCATCCAGTTGCCGTTCAGGTAATAGTGGCCCGTGGTGTTGCGTATGGCTAATCAAACGAGTTTCACGAGTGTTTCAGAGTGTGTTTGTGCACTGTGTGGCTACGAGGAGCAACGAGTCGAACAATTTCCCCGGGATATTCATCTAAACGCTTTATTCAATCAAGAGCTCACGCTTACCGAGATAATTGTTAGATGGTTGCACTTCCCTTATGGCGATGTTTGTCGCGCCCTCGGGTATTAGCAGAATATCGACGTAACCTGAAAGAGGCGCAATATTGTTCTGTTATTGCGTTATTAGTGTCATAGAGTGGCACAGTTAGCTGCAAGTAATTTCGCACAGTAGCGAGAAATTAATTTATCTCCCGACAAAAGCCTCAGACGTCGACTGCGGATGTAATCTCGCCAGGTTACGGACTGGATTTGTTCGTAAAGGCTATTAATCGAGGAAAATCACTTACCCACATGGAGATCGTCTGTGTCGAATAAGCCGTTAACCGTATTGCAATCGGAGCCGTCGCCGCCGCATTCTCTGCACGCGTCTTCTTTGGCATCGCTACCCAGCATCATATCGCACCCGACGTGCTGGTCGAAAAAAAGGATCACCGTGAAATTTTATCGTAACACGTCATACATTCTATACGGAAAAAATATTGCAGTAAAAATTGCGCTAAAATTATATTTCTTTCTACAATGTTTTTTATAAAGATAGACAGTACTGAAATTGTAGTAGTATAAACTACTATATATACATGAAAAAAATATCTCACATTGAGGAGTCCCATTAGAATTGACTAGGTCACCTTTCGTCACTCTATTCGTGTGTGCATATCTATGTGTATAATTCTATAAATTAATTGTATATATTTGTCTAATTAATTCAACCTGCCATCTCAGCCAGTATTTATAGCGTATATTTTTATATATACATTTTTTGTAAGTGTCAACTGACCCAAGGGAGGAGGAGACTAATATCCTCCGGCCACAAAATAGTTAAGTGAGCGCACAGTATTAGTCGTTGAAAAAATTGTATTTCATCCTAGAAAGTAAATCTTATTCTCCAGGGAACATTAATGTCCATAATTAGAAAAATTTTGTTGTAATTTTTACTACAACATTTCTTGCGTGTATTTCCTTCTCTCATTTCGTTTGTCAATCAAGATCTCCGTTTTGATAAAAGCGTTCGAGAGCACAACTCCATCGAAGCAATGATCGTTCGTGCGCGACACGTACACACTAATTCGTACTAATTGACACTTTACCGATTGACAACTCACCATGCACTTGCCCTTGACGCAGACGTCATTCGCGTCGGCCTTGCAAGGCGTGCCGTCTACTACGGTGTTCTTGTGCCTGTAGAAAAACCTCTCGCCGCGCGGCATGCAATTCAGCTCACACTTATTCGGACTCCCAGTGTACGGAATCCAACTGCGGCAGATAAATAACAGTAATAATTGCGAAGGCAATCGACGAATCGCGCGATTTAACAATGATCGCACGGTTCGACGATTGTTCAACCGCCATTATCCCGGGATCTTCCTGTGCTTCGCGCTCGATGAGTGACTCAACGCGACTCTGACGAGGAAGTACGTGCACAGTCGCGACGAGTGAAAGATAATCGGCCGTCAGAGCCGATAAATTACAGTATTTGTGCGAACGTCAGTATCGCTTATGGCTCGTTCCTTCGCGGTGGAAACTTTCGAGTCTCGCCCGACTCGCTTGGGTCATCGCCGGGAGAAAGAGCACCATAAATATAGTGTCATCTATTAAAAGACGATTCAAGCGACCGCGGATTACAGGGCGAAGGGACGATCATTAGGTGCTGCCAAGGACCACAAAAGGATTTCATCATCGTCCCACGCGGAGCGCCGATCATAAATCACCATGGCGACGCGAGGTGAGATGAGATGAGGTGAGGCAGTCGTCGTTTCACGAATTTGACTGAATCCAGTTAATAATTAAAACGTCGGGCTGCGATACTTACTCGTAATATACATCCTCGAAGGGTATCTTATTGAACTTGGCACATTGCTCCGCTCGGAAATCCTTCGGCTCATCGGGACAGTCCTGGAAGAAGCACGATTGGCATTTTCGAATTTCGCGCTGGTAAATGCATCCGGCAGCTCGACCACCGAGCTTAAGCTTTGCGACAACGAACGCGTGCTCGCGACTGTCTCGACGTAATTTCCGCGACAAGCGCGCGAGTCGATCTGCACAAAGAAGTCGTGCAATATCCTTCTCTCTCGTGTTAACACGCGCAACGATTTAAGGAAGCGTGCAGCGATTTACTCGTAAAATTCCGCGATATTTCATGTCGAACAACGAACGTCGAGAGATTCTCAGCGCGCTGAATTTCGGCTGGCGATTTAAAATATCTGGTTGGCGGAATCAATTGAACTATGTAACACCAATTTGAAATATGTAACGAGTCAAAAAACACACGGTTGCATACTCGCGAGATATAACGTCAGCCGAAGTTGGCTGTTCGTATGCCCGGCGCGTTCGCCGTCGACGGAAATAAAGCAGCGCGGTGTAGCTACGATAATTACTGGCTCGCGAACTCGCCATAATAAAAAAAATATGGGGAGCTCGGCGGAACCGCCGCGTAAGCGAGACGCACGAATTTTTTCCGCGACTTTTTTTCCAGCGCATTTGACTGCGCTTTCGCGCCCTCGTTTCGCCGACCTCGAACTCGAAATAAATCCCGACGGCGCGGCGCACGGATGAGGCGAGTTTTCGTACGAAGAAATGCAGACGCTCGGGCGTGGTGCGGAAAAAGAGTCTCGTCATGGCGTGAAATGAAGGGACAGAAGGCTCCAGCTCTTAGGACCTGTATATACGGACGGTCCTATTTTTCGACTGGCTACGTCCCCTTCATTAAGTTAACTTGGCTCATCCCTCGACACCGATCTCATCGGGTGACTCGCTCTCTCAACATCGATGCGGGGATGTAGAGCCGTTGCACGTGAGTATAATCGAACACTTCAATTAGAGATTTCATCGAATTGCTCGCGCGTAACATGTAGTTCACGTTGTACCTGAACCATCGCTACTTCTACGATAGCTTAAGTCTCACGACGGCACTATAACTGTCGCAAATCGAGAAAAAGCGTACTCCCGTCCTCGTGACCACCCGCGTGAAATCAACGAGCGCGTGCTGCTACGCTATTTCGTGAACGGCCCGCAAAAATGAGATGGCCCGCAGATGGACGCCGCGTAGGGCAGACCCCCGAGGGGCAGGTAATGTCGATAAATCGAGTGGAACCCGAGTAAAAAGGAAGAAGAGATACCCCGACGGGACCGGTACCACGCACGAGGATACGGAGCAGGATTTATGGCGGGAGATTTCTTGCGGACGGAACGAAACGCCAGAAAAAGGGTGGCGGGCAGAGACAGGGTGAGTCAGAGAGAGAGAGAGAGAGAGAGAGAGAGAGAGAGAGAGAGAGAGAGAAAGAGAAAGCGAGGCAACGTTCAGGAAAAAGTTTCAGGTCGGTGGGACGACATGAACACGACGTCGCGGATGACGAATGTTGCCAATCGTACGAGCTGTGAAATTTATAAGGGATTATTTTAAGCTACGCGCGCGCGTTGCAACGAGGAGCGATCGACCTCAAGGGGCCGGCGCGGTGTGTCTGGAGTTGTGTTTTCGGGATTATTTAAATCTATTGCACTTGAGAGAGCCGGTGCGTCTCCTCGGATTACCTACCGTCACATTTTGTAACTCTCCGCGGAGTCGTCGCATCGTCAACGGGGTGTCACCCCCGTTATCCGTGCGGGAAGATCGAAGACTCTAGTCGAGAAAGGAGGAGCAAGCAGCATACCGGCGATTGTACCCGTACGCGAGAAACAAATTGCCGCGATACGCGCGTCGAAACGTTTACCTCGCCGCGCATTTTAACGCGGAGAGATAATGGGACGGTTAATTGTCCGTCCCGGCGCACAATGGCCGCCGGGTATTCATGAGCTCGCGGAAAATCTTGGCGTCATTTGTAGCGAGCTAAAGCGCGGTAAGCTGTAATTTTCACAATATGCGCGGAAATTGTGCGAGAAATATTTACATACATTATTTATCAAATATTTATCGCCTGACGCGATAGATTGTAGCAAAACGCTCGCGTACATATAGATTAGATCAAACTGAACACAGAATTTCTTTGCTATTTTGTGGCAAACAAATTTAAACAAATCTAATGTAAAATTTCGAATTATTAATCAAAAGAGATTGACGATTGAGATTGCACGCTATGCAGTGCAAGATGTGACGATATGTACGATCTTTGTTATGTAGATTACGTCAAATTTAACAAAAAAGTTTTGCTACCATTTTGCTACCATTTTACAAATAACTACAAAAATTTCTCAATTATTAATTACAAGAGATTGGCTATTTATTGTGCGCAATCATTTGCGAGTCGTCTTTAATCAACAACTCACAAATTTACGTGGTTATTTGCGAAATGATGGAGGACTTTCGTGTTCAGTTCGACTTAATCTACCCGAGAGTTTTTCCACTTTTGAAACACTTTCATTTGCGGGATATATAATTCATTTCTATGAATAAACTTTATATCCCACAAGTGAATTTTCAAGTATGTTTTCCTCAGTACATTGTCATCAGATATCCTGTATATCATTAGGTTGTACAATCTAATGAGGAAAAGACGGACCGACAAGAGCACGGTAATCGTGACGGTAATTAATGTTTATTATTCGAGTTTAGAGTTGGGAAAGTCGGTTGTTGTACGTCATGCGAAATACTTCGGACATCTTGTTAGATTGGATGTGTTGCCGCTACCGACTGAAACTGACACGCCGTATATCACTATTTCGTTGTGATCGGGCGATCAACCCATAGAGGAGGGTGATTTATTTCGGGGAAGACAGCGGGGCGAAGCCGCAAATAGACAAGGAAAAAGTACACGAGAAACAAATTATCGAAACGCCGGCGGGCGAGTGATATTAACGTCCCATTTCCCGCATATTTGCCGCGGAGGGGAATCAATTGAGCGAACTCTGGAGGCCTCACTGCGTTGTATTGTAAATTATTTAGGCTGAAAAGTCTACATAATTAGCCTTCATTTCTGACTGAAAAGAATCTGATTGACAAGAAAATCTACTATAAGATATTACCTTATTTTCAACAATGAATTATCATAAACGTTTGCGGAAAATGTAAAAAATATATCGAAAAAAGAAAAAAATACTAAAAGAACCAAATAAATATGTCAAATATATAAAATAGGAAAGATTTATACATTTATTCGCGTCTCTGAGTTTGTCTAAAAGAAAATTCACGATCTTCACGTATTTTCCATTGTGTCTGCGCGTAAAACGATACCAGACGTTATCAAAATTCGCGGTTTCGTCACAGCATTCGTCTTGAATTAAGCACAAAGCTTTCTATATATTAAATCAACGTCGACCACCTATGTTGCGTCGCAGATAAAATCGAGTTTCCCGTTAGTATCATCAGTCCTCCTTAGAAAGTCACGAGATTCAGAGTAAAAAGAGAGACGTTGCTCGAAAATCGAAAGCGGCACCGGCGGCGGCTCTTTAAATGCGCGTAGGGTCACCTGTAATTACGGCTAACTCTTAATTAAAGCGTGGCTTCATTAAAGAAATCCGACCGCACTTCGCGTTGGCGTCTATAATTTTTCCATGGTCGGCGGCGCGCTGTTTTGCGAGTTTATTCGTTGCTACGATTGCGTCGATGGAAATCCACTGTTAATTTTTCATTTGAGATCTATCGTCGCTTCAGTTTCACGAAAAGGGGAGTGGGGCCGCTAAATCGAATTCAAAGACGAGAATAGGAAACAATCGATATGTTAAATTGCGTAAATTAAATTCGATCGAATCGAATGTAAAAGACGCGCCGATTTAAACTTCCATTTCGCGCGGTAAAATTTAGTCTAGTTTGAAATTGGATGACGGCGGCTTGTGAAGCTGGAATTTAGGAATGAAGGGATTCGAATACTTTCTCATATTTCATTTGATCATTATGCGAACCCTTCAAAATGACTTTTATCGGAATGAAATGAAACTGCCGTCGGTCCAGGAAATCGATCCCAGCAGTCAGCGCAGCGCATAGCGGTATATCTTGCTATTCGTTTCAGTTAGCACTTTGCTCTAACGAAGTTAATACTTAGCGAGTCGATGCCGCACACATAATGGCCTCCCGTTCATAAATCTCCTACGGGCCATCAGGGAGCCGCTGGTGCGCCACGTGCTCGGACATAGTTTCGTCGCACGGTGATTATCCGAGCACATTGGAATAACGTGGAGTACGTTTTTAGAGTGCGCTCACATATTTTTTACTACGTCGTTGTACTTTCATCGATTCACATGAATTCTATAGTCTGCCGTCGTTTTATCAAAATAAAAAAGAAATTAATATAACCAAAACTAATTTTTTAATTACATTTCGAATTGAAGAACATTAATTAATATAACAAAAAATTACATATGAAAAAAATAAATTTTAAATTTATATCTTCCAATAAATTACGTAAAACGTATTGAAATATCAAGAATATTCATAGAAATTATGGCATTATATCACAAATATTACAAGAATTTCGTGCAATCGAGGAATGGAGATAGTTCAGAGAGAGAGAGAGAGAGAGAGGGGGAAAGAGAGAGGGAGAGAAAGAGAGTGGGAGAGTGAGTAAAAGAAAAGGAGGGAGGAAGATGGGGAGGAAGAGAGAAAGAGCGATAGTAGAAGATATTAGTTTCCTTGTGTTTTTAATCTTATAGTTGTTAATATTATATACTAGGTTAAACTATCCGGCATTATCCGGATTATCATAAAGTATCAAGGGGAAAAAATAAGGGAGGGGGATGGAATGTTCAAGTTACATATAGCTTATATTTTGCTCAGAGTCCTAGAGAGTAACTATACAAAATTTAGTTCAGATCGGTCAAAGGATTCAGACAAAAATTTAAACAGAAATTCCACTATATATATATATATATATATATATATATATATATATATATATATATATATATATATATATATAATATATATATAGTGTGTGGAATTAATATTCCACTAATTATATACTCTTATATACTTAATTATATACTCTCTAAAAAGTATGTAAAAAATATGTGAATAATTAAAAAATCAGTTTTTGCTATATTAATTTCGTTTTAATACAACGGCAGACTATAGAATTCGTGTGAATCGATGAAAATACAACGACGTAGTAAAAAGTATGTGAGCGCACTCTAAAAAAAAAATATATATATATATTTTATTTTATACATTATTGTTTCAGTGTTTTATAAAAATATATATAAAAATATTTTTTATAATCTTTTGAAACTTGAAAAATTTTAAATATATTTATCTTGAATATGCATATTTCTCTCAATTATCTTCGTATTCTATCAAACCCTTCGATTATATCATGCCACCGTCTTAGAATGCGAATGATATTTTCAGGTCATATCAGTTTCAGGCATTTACGCAACGCTCTCTTGGAGTCCATGACGTGATTGCGCAACAGTGAGACACGTTGCACATTTCCTCCCTCCTCCCTGCCGAGTATAATTCTTCCATCAAAATAATTTTCCTCTTCGTTTTTCGCGCGCACGGTTGAATGGCTCGGCTTTGACGGCAAAAAATTCACGATCAAAAAGCAGGATCTATGCCGTGGGATTCTAATTGCGGTTAATTCATCATAATTTCTCTATAAACCGCGAAAGCGCGAGAACATAATGGAAACGTCATCGTAAATTTTTCGAGCTTTTGCGATTGGATTTCCGTCGTTTCTTTCGCGTTTGAACTTACGTGAAAAATTTTACTTTGAGATTAATGTGACGTTATCGCCAGTGCAAGAGAGAACATTTCTGTTTGCTCGCTTCGAAGTGAAACGTTGGTAACGCTCGACAGATTCAAATGAAAAAATTCTGAGGAGAAGAAATACTTTCTGCCAATAAAGTGAAACCGGACTGATGGCTGTCAGCTTGACGCGAATACCCGAGAAAATTAAATCGAAGTTGACGAAACGAAAAATCTCAAGACGCCCCTCTTCAATTTTCCTGTATAATCACTTTATAAACAATTTATTTCGTTTGGAAAGAAAAGTATCGAGAGAACCTATTTGAAAAATAACTCAAACTCGCGAGATCTCTCGATTGTGTTTATTAACGTTAGATGAGACATCGATCACTCAAAACGGAACAAATCCACGAGCCTCTTGATACCAAAAATTTTAATTTAGCGAATTTAGATTTTTCAAATTGCTATATCAAGTTCGGCGTGTACGGCACTTGTCATAGCGCGAATCGCGTAATGGCAAAGAGCAAACGTTTACTTGATGGCCCCCTCTCGTTACTCCATACAACGCACCTCTCCATCGGCGAGCTTTTACCGAGAGAATCGCGAGCACTCATGTGCCGGGTTGCCAAGAAGAGAACCTGTTAAAGCGGAGATATTGTACGGGTCGGGTCGGGTTTATGAGGTCACCGGGCCAACCAACGAGCGAACCGTCGCGAAAATCTCGCAGTACGTTCGATTAAAACGGCGTGCATAACAGCCGAGCAGACACGGGAAAGACAAAAACTTCGTGTATCATGTCCGCGGATTTTGCGTACGCAAATCTGTCTTCTACGTTCCCTTTATCCTTGACAACGTTCTCGCTATTATACGCCGGCTCGATTTACGCGGATCCGCTTATGCACGACCGACAAAGGTAGAGAACGTAAAGCAGCGATATAGCGATATAGTGTCCCATAATTCCTCGAAGGCATATAAATGTGCCTTGGAGAAACGACGATCTCGATATACGCGAAAGTTTAGAGAACGTTTAGCGCGATATGTACCAACGAAAACGAGCAAATGAGCGAACGTATTTTGCGCGCGCGCTACAAATACATTTAAAAACACGTGTAAATAAATCACGCATTAGATTACTCTGATTATTTCTTCTTTTGGGAAATTGCATTATTAAATTTCGATGAATCTTCGCAACAGCGATAACGCATGTCGGACGTTTATCTACGACGCCGCTACGCGTGTGTGTCCTTTGAAATCGCGAACGAGAGAAGGAGGGAAGAAGAAGGGAACGGGGGATTAAAAGTTTACTGCGGCAGTAAAGATCGTTTCTTAAAGCGACCACTGAATTCTCGCCGACGATACTCGAGGGCGCGCTCGGATGCGTCGTGAAAGTTAAAAGCTCGGGTGCACCCTATCCGAGAGTCGTAAAAACCGCGAGACGTACGTATGCGCTCGTCACGTTTGGGTGGACGACTTTTACAGCGACGAATGGGCCGACAATGCGAGGGTGATTTGCTGAGCGTCGTCGAAACATCCGACAATCGATATGGCTGAAAGTGCGCGCCACAGTGAGTGGCGAAAGTGAATATGCCGAGGAAGTTTTCATCTTCCCGCGCGAACTTAAAGCTCAGGGACAAGTGAAACGAAAGTTGCCGCGGGGGGTAGTCAGCGAAATTTTGACGCTTGCACGCCTAATTAACTCGCGCAATTAATCACGTCCCTCAAATTAAACGTACAGTCAACAGACGGCCACGATGAAACAGGATATCACAAAATATACGTCGAAAATTGTACTTCATCACTGTGTCTTCGATTGATTAAAGAAGACCGATGTGTTTCTGATGAAATAAATCTAATTTTCGATTAAAAAATCTAATAAAGAGATTAGTAAAGAAGCAAATGTTGTTTACATATCCATTAATTATGCTAGGTGTCTGAATTTACGTGCTCTTGTGTGCATGTAGAATTTACTAAATATATTGCACAGAAAAATCCTGAAAATATTGAATGTCTTCTGAGAACGCGTTGGAAATCGTATAACAGCGAAGTAACATTGCGATTAACGCGAATCTGTGTTACACGCGTGAGATCTTCAACTGAACACGTGTTTGCTAAGAGATCAGGAAACAAGTCTAAGATCTGTTATCAAGAGTTGTCATTTGAGACTCATCTCATGTGACATACTCAGAGTTTGATTGAGTTTTTATTCAGAGTTTGATCCAAGTTTTTCAGTTGATTTATGATACGTTAGGTGAAACTATCCGGCGTTGCTCGGTTAGTGTCAAAGTGTCAAGGGGATGAAATCAGAGCAGAGTGTGAGGTGTTCAGGTTACGTGTAGCCTGTATTTTCCGCGGGGTTCTAGAGGATAATTATGTAAAATTTGATCCAAATCAGTCAAAAGGTTTAGAAATGTATAGGAAACATACAAACAGACAGATATACTATTTTATATATATAAAATTTCATATATATAAAATAGTATATCTTATTTGTTTTATATATATAACATTTATATATATAATCGAGATTCAACTGAAGACCTCTCATCTGACTCTGAATTTAAATCTGAGTATTTCATTTAAGATGAGTCTCAAGTAATAATTATTAACACGGGCCTAAGATATGTCTCTTGAGACTTCAGAGCTTGTCGCTTACGCATATCGATGGACCAATTTTCTTTAATTAATATCTTGAGTTACCGTGATAATTTACAGAATTACAAAATAGTAGAGGATTTTCCTGTTAAATTCAACAAGTTTGATTTGTATGCATGCGATCGGATATCTAAATTCAGACATCTTGTATATAATGACATCGCACGCGCGTGACCGTGGAAACGAAAGCGAGGGACTGCGAGACCTCGACTCATTGATTTCAGTTTGCTCGCAGACGCGAATAATTGAAGCGCGCGTCACGCGTCTGTGCCGCACGGGGCCCGGCTCTCGATAGACCGTCAGAGGCTGCTCGATCTATTAAAGCACATCGCATAAATCACTCCCTGTTACACGGCAATTAATCAAGTTCCAGATCGTACTTGACTCACGTAGAGCCCGCGGCATTCCCACGGCGACGTGCGGCGACGTGCGTCCTTTTTGCGACCATCTCAGAGCCGACATTATCACGTCGCGGGAGACATGATCGTCAGCACCCACAAAGTGCAAATAAATTTATTTACGAAACAATTGATGCGATTCGTGCGCGCGAAGTCCGGGGTGAGTTTCTTCTTTTTTATCTTCCACTTACCTGAATGTTGCACGAGAAGTATTTCCTGGCGGCGCCGGTGCACCTGTCGTGGCCATCGTCACTGCAACACCACAGAAGAAAAGATGTGTCACTTTTATGAAAGATGGAAGATCTAAAGAAAAAGAGACAATGCCGATGGCGGACACTCGATAACGTAAAATGTTCTTCTCGATAGTCCTTTTTTTCGCCCCCATTTAATCTATAATGATTCATGGTTCTCAGTTACGCTGCTATGCGTTTCCGCGCTTTTCGTTTCAGTATCAGGACCACCGTTATTAAAAGCACTTTCTTAGGGGATTAAAGTTACTTGCGAATATATTATACTAGCTTAAACTACCCGGCGTTGTCCGGGCTTCTTATATCTAGAACATCTAAATTTAAATTATCACAAAGTGCAAAGAAGATCAAATCAAGGAGAGGGGATAGAATATCCGGATATCATGTAGCCTGTATTTTCCGCAGGATCCTAGAGACTAATTATGTAAAGTTTGGTCCAGATCGGTCAAAAAGTTTAGGAGTTAATAAGGAAGATACAGAACACACAAACATTCTATTTTATACATATAGACTATGTATACATTTATATTTGCATGTGTGTCCCAACTACAGAATTTAATGAATTCTATAATTATGATAAAAAAAAATAACAAAAGCACTATGTACTGTAAGATGATACCAATAAAAAATTAAGAAAGTATGTAGATTATATTCGCAAATACATTATCAATTCGTGACTCATTATCTCTGCGATGGTTAATTTTCTGGAGAAATTCTTTGGTATATAGATCGAGTGAATTCGACGAAGTTCATATAACATCCTGTCGGAGTATATTCGCTCATTCATAATAGCGTGATTGCAGCATCGTTGAAGCTGATATCGTAATTAGGATAAAGGGTAGACACAATCGTATTCATTTGACATGTAACTACGCCCAGGGGATGAGATGCATGTGCACAGCATCTAATAAGCGAGACAATACCGATTACATACACTTGATAATGTAGTACTGTATACACACCCTGCAGTTATTTCTCGCTCTAATTTGCTCTGAATCAATTTGAATCCCAATCTCGCGCGTTTCCACGTTTCTTATGTTCGCGATGCGACAAAGATACTTAATCGCGAATTTGTACTTTGTTAAATTTACAACTGATCTCTCATTTAAGGAGATTTTTTTAGTCTCAAAAATAAAGAAGAGAAATAAAATAGAAGAAAACAGAATACCGATCCTTTTATCTGTCTTCGAATAGTTTGGACGTGTGTGATTTAATGAAATCTGTACTGAGAGGAAATGAGAAATAATCAATGATGATGTCATGCCGTTCCGCATCCAAGGTCGTCGAAAATGAGACTAAGATTCCCGCCTCAATAAATTTCCACAGTATTCCGGTAAGTGCTGCTTACTTATTTCGCACGAGATGGTCCGATATTTAAAAATTTATCACTTGGATAAGTATGTACCTCTTCCTGCTTGATAAAATTTTTAAAAGGGACATTCGGAGATTTACGTACTTACATCCTGTAGCATTAACGTCCACGTCCCGGTTTGCATCTACGTAGAACCTTAAAGAGTTTTTCCAATTTTTCAGATCGGAAAAATGTCGACCTGTTTCTAACGCATTTTCTCGAAGTATGCGAAATTTAAAAAATGCACTTGTATCGATTCTTCAAAGTAAGCTCCGGAAATAGTCTCAAAATATCGGAAATCATCTTTAGATATAACGTCCTGTTAGATTTGTACGAATACGTCACATTATTATCTTGGTGCATCGAAATTTCCCAACAGTTATATAATTTTTTATTTTTCCAACAGAAGGCAATTTATACTGCAATTCTAGACAAAATCGTAAAACTCGTAACTTGTTCTCGTAAGAACTTATAAATAGATCTGCAATTCTATGCCGACTGTATGTCATATGATAACTCGTAAATATCAATTTTTTTTTTGTTTTTTTCGTAAGCTACGACTTAACGATTTTATGATTTACTCGTATATTTGCTTAGAATTGCAGCATTATGTTTATAGAAGAAGATGAAGATTAGAAATTCTGACGTATCGTAGCGTCGGTTTCTGCGTCGTGCACCGATTAAGCGCGATTTCTAATCGATTGCAGGCGCGGAAAGCACGATCTCGCGGAAATGATGCGTTTTCCTTGCGATTAAATCGTAGCAATCGATGCATGTCGCGTTCCGATGACCCGTGGCACACGATGCATTCGACGAGCGGTCCGCCGCGCGCATTACGCGCTTTCACGTTACGATTATCTCGCTTTCTACAACCGCACCGTGTCATTAACGACAAGCCCGTCCCGCCAAGCCGTCACAATATGTCGATCATCGATCGGTCATTCTCCCAGTTTCCCACTTTACGTAACCGCGGTGTTAAAGCCAGCTTTAATTGCGACTCGTCTCTTCGCAATGGGAAATCGTGAAAATTTCACGGAGATAGCGTGACGCCGGGGAGACGTGTAAGTGCCTACGATTAATCTTCCCTTAGTTTCGAGATAAGAAGGATTTACGGCGAATCCGTTACGGGGCGTGCACTAAGGGAAAAGTTTCGTTGATTTATCCGAAATTTAGTCGCGCGCGACGTCCGCCGCGTTGCAAAAAGGATTGATCGAACTGCGCTACTCTCTCCTCCTCTCTCTTGTTCACGTATGAATTATTCGATTCGTTCGACATTACGAATCATTCACTTCTTATCAATTTGTCGTCTTATCGCGTTAAAATCACTTTCAAATAAGACCAGAGAAATTTGCTAAAAAATAAAAATGTGTGTACAACAATATTGGTTCATAATATCTACGATTTAGAAAAATTTCATCGAATGATATACTTTTGTTTATTTTGCATTTTTTAAATAGCTTTTCTCTGCATTACTTTTATAAAAAAATAATGCCAAAGATTTTGAAATTAAACAGAACCCGTCATTTATTCAACCCAACATTTATTAGCGCCTCAATAAGCGGTTTGCCTGACTCGCTGCTTACACGCCATTAAACCGGGTATTCGGGTATTCAGTGCAGATCGAGACTTGATTAAATTCTTTGCAAGCTTGTGTCCGCTTTTAATCCAATCTCAATCCAATTGAGCATACCATTGTAGTGAGTTCCGGGGATAGCGAGGAACTCAACGAGACGGAATGGCTTCCTTCGGGCGGATTAAACGGAGAACAAACTTTAAAGTGGGCAAATAAATTCTCTCACACGTCCCGCGAATTCGCGAGCGCGGTTGCGAAAATAACGCGGCACCGCGATAATAATCTACGCAACGCGACAATCGCACATATATCAACTCAGTCAAAAAACTGCAGAGATATATTTGCAAAGTCTCTCATGGGATAATGTGCGCGAAGAATTTCTCGCCGGGGGATATTAAAGCATTTCTTCAAACACAAAAGAGAGAGAGAGATAGAAGAAGTAAAAATTAACAGTCGCAATACTTCTTTCTCTTTCATCCACTCGGAGGATAGTTTTTCCTTTTTCACGGACGGATTCGCGGGAGCGTTTTATTGAGATGTTCTTCTTGTACGTGCCGTGCTCACCCCAACACTCTACTCTCGTTCGACATTCCTCTCAATATCGTATCTCATGGCCAACGGCGTTCCATCTAGTCTAGTCCCGGAGTAACGGATAGTCGATAAACGCGCGGGCTCGTAAAGTATGGTAACTCACTCTATGTCGAGACACTGTCTGGTCTGATGGGCGACCCCGCCGCCGCAGGTGCGCGAACAGGAGCTCGGCGACGACCATGGTCCCCAGTTGCCGCTCTCAGGTTCGTCCGTGTCCAGCACGAAGAAGCTGGGCTGATAACTCTCGCCGTGTTGTCGACGGTGCCTTCCGTGCCTTAATTTTATATGATGCTGCAACAGGACCAGGAGGTAAATTTATTACGGTGTGCTCGCCTCCTCTGTCTTGCTTTTGCACGCGTCTCGTTTCGTGCCGCAGCGCGCATCGGGACGTTGCCGAGTCCGGAGGTATCTCGGGGTCGACCGGGGTCGCGAAAAGGATGTGGCCTGCCGTGAGAACGTAGGTGCGAGGGAAACATTTCGCGCTAAGTGCCCCCTCGTTCACCTGCGCCTCCGTCTGCCCGCGCCACGGCAAAACGAATGAACGAACTGTACGCGACGTACAGGTGAGCTTCGTGGGTAACAATGGTACTCGCGCCGCATGGGGTGCTTTAATCCCTCAGCGCGGCTCGCAGGAGGTATTCCATCGCGCGAGGAACGCGTTTGAGGAATGTATCTCTTAATCCAATTTTTATTTATGGAGAAATAGAGAGAAAGGGAGAGAGAGTGAGAGAAAGAGAAAGAGAGAGAAAGAAAGAGAAAGAAAGAGAGAGAGAGAGAGATGAGGGGAAGAAGAGATGAAGGCAGTTTCCGCGCTTCTCTTTTCTGCGGAGAAGAATGAACAAGTATGAGCCTTTAGACGTCTGTTGGACTTCTTCGTTTCCTGGGATCGCGCTGGTAAATGCGTTACTCAGCCTTCACCGGGGAATTATTGACTTAAGGATGTTCATGAGCGATACATCGAGCGCTACAGCAAATTTACGTTGACGCGGTTGGTATGTCCGACTGCAGAGGGTTTCTCCACTTTTGGAAATAAGCAAAAGAAAAATTGTTACGTGCCGAAATTTAAATATCGATTCGATCCTTTCTCCACCTTTCTACGTAATGTTGAATTTGTGAAACGCGAACAAATATTCGATCGCTCACCAACTTTCGTAGAATCCGCGAAAATTTCAAAATAGAGCAAATTTATTTGCAGATATTGATTTTATTAAGCTATTTTATCTTATAACTAAAGCTTTTCTATATCTTTGAAAAATGTGTCCAGAAATATTGATTTCCAACAAAGTCACATGGTAGTTTAAAGTTACTTTGGTCTGATAGATTCTAATTGTACTATACTCTAAGAAAAAATACGTGAAAATTTACTTGCAGGATATAAAGTTTATTTGCAAGAATAAACTTTATATATACTATTTATAAATTTTTAAATATTTTTTACAGTATGTTTCAAAAAACGATTGTACACGAAGGATTAAATCAGAGCTGATGTCAAACTTTAATATCTAAATGTGAACCTGAGATTTTGTTCTCTTGGATACGTTCGTAATATCCCGAAACAAATTATCTCGTCGAGCTGTTACGCACACAGGAGGCGATTTCGAACTTTCCGCTGAAAATTGCGTTACTCGACACGACGCGGGATTGAGAAAACTCCGCAAGGGAATTTTTAGACGGTGCCGCCGTTGTCACGGTATATTAACGCTAAATTGTGCCTAAACGGCGGGAAGCCCGCAAAATCCACCGCAGGCGTTCGCCACGGCTAATAAGCGCGACCAGGAATGCAGCGCGAGAAGGAAGAGCTTTATTCGTCGTGTGCAACACCCTGTATGTGTTAATAGCGTGCGGGCAACTTGGTCAAACAAAAACGCGGTTAAGAAAAACGATTTTGTTCGGAAAGTGAAGTCTGCAATCAGTCTTTTCTTTTTGTTTTTTTTTCTTCTGCTTCTTGTTCTTGAACTTTTTTTCGCTTTTTCTTGACAAACGAAGCCGCAAAGGATCGAGCATTCGCGACTTCCGCCAGAGCTTTCGCTGCCGGCGAAGTGCCCATATAACATTTCAATGGCCGGGTCCTTCTGGCGAGTGTCCAAAGCAGTTTGCATTCGCCGGTTGTAAAGTGCATGCGCGGTTTCCAATAAAATTATCAGCCCACCCTGCCGGCTTCCCTGAACATCCCCCGCCGGATATGGTTCTCCGTTTAACTACGCTTTCGCCACTAAATGATCGTTTCTCGATCGAACGCGCTCTCGGATACAGGAGTACGAGTCTCTATACGTATTGAGCGGCTTGTGTTCGGTAGTTATTGGCTCTTAACGTGGCGTTTTGCAGAATACGCGGCTGTAGAATTTCAGCGCTTCCGAATGATCCCTTGAATCGCGAATTATGACGTTAATTGAGATGGGTTTCTCGATAAATTCAATGGATACTGATGTAGAGTCTGCAAAATTTCAGACAGAACGTCCGTTTATTTATTTCCTTCCCGCTCATTATTGATTTCAAGATTTCTGCATGGACAGATAGAAAATTGAGTTTTACATATACACTCATACACACACACACACACACACAGATAATAACAGCGTGGTGCTTTTTATCGTCGAAAAGATCGATGAAATTGAACTTTGGGATATAACGAGCGTTTAAGCTCGCTTGTGAAAGTCCGAATTTGTGATTATTTGCCACGAAATTATTCTCACGAGAGATAAAGGGTTAAAGCTGTTTTATACATCATCCCGCGGCTTAACGAGTACTTTGTACACGAATAATTAGCGGCAAAAGAACGAACAAAGGGCTGCGCGTATATAATTGCGCGGCGTTCAGTGAAAGACAGATTTATTACATTGCTGGCAATTATGCTCTGTGTGTACAATTTATCCGGTTAAGTAGTTACACCGATCGTTACATGACATGGTGAATCATAGCGTCCGCGGCCGTTTACGGTAATTACAACGGGTTCGTTTTGCTCTTTAAGCATACACAGGAAGAATACGTTTATGATTCGGCCAGTCACGTTGATAGAGATTTAGTGGTGCCATTTTTCCCGAACGAATTACCTCCTCGACAAATTTAACGTTGTCTGCCTCTCTTCTTCTTTATTTCTCCACTGCGAGTTAGATAATTAAGATTATCAGTTCTTTATTGCATTATCAATGAATATATCGTACAAAATTGTTATTTCCATGTAACACTCCATTTGTTACGTTCGATTTTATAACAAGGAAGTATCGCGAGAAGTTTTAAAATTTACAGTGACGTAAGGTAACAGGCCTTCGCGACTGCATCTCAAAATGGGATTTGCGTTAAGCATATAAGCGGCAGGTGTAATTAGAGAAGCTTATTGCCGCTCGAATATCGGATCACGAAGAAGGAAGTTACTTAAATTTAATCTGTCCTCCTTCCTCAGCTAGGAGCTGCTGGAATCTTTCTCGGAGGCGTATTCCCCAGATACAACCCCACCTCGTCTATTTTATCGTATTCTCCAGATACAAACCCACCTCGTCACTTTATCGAATATTGTAGAAATAGCTTTACTTTCAGTTTCTTAATCTACATTAACAATAATTGATGAATGATTGATGATAGTGCTCTAAAAAAGTAATTATATTGTCGTTATAAATGGTTAAAATATATAACTTTCATCTTTCTCATCGACAATAATAACGAGCGTTACGGTTTCACGTTACAATTCCCAATTGCATTTCTTGCCTTCTTTCCGCTCGAATATCTAACGAGAAGTTCTAGCGTTATTTCATTTTTAATGAGATGAAGAAATCGGATGCCCTGTGTAACTAGCACATGTAAATATTATATATATGTATGTATATTTGTATATATATATATATATATATATATATATATATATATATATATATATACACACACACACGCACACAGAAAGTCCAATTTTAAACATGCTAACCGAAACTGAACCCAACAGACAAAAATGTTTTTAACAAAATTTATAGGATCTTGAGGAAGAAGAAAGATGGTAACTTTATATATATATATATATATATAAGGTCATCATCTTTCTTCTTCTTCTTCTAATTATGTCAACTATCGGGATGCTCATCTTTCTCGAGATCCTATAAATTTTGTCAAAAATATTTTTGTCTGCTGGGCTCAGTTTCGGCTAGCATATTTAAAATCGGACATTCGTGCGTGTATGTGTATGTGTATATACATATGTACATATATACAAATATATATATATATATATATATATATATATATATATATATATATATATA